CATACCTTGTAGATATCAAACCAGTATGTTCTCTTGACGGGGTACATAACACGCAAGCCGGAGAGGATTGGACTGTGAAGAACAACGCCTCGAACTTTCGGGAGCCTGGCCGCCAGGTCCACTGTCGGGCCACTTCCCACGGACTGTCCATAGAGCACCACATCCTCTTGTCTCACGCCATAGTCTCGCTCCAAGCACTGATAGGCAGCTTCCACGTCCGCGTACGTGTTTGCTTCACTCGGCTGGAAAAAGATGGACAGTCCAAAGTGAAAACCTTAACCAGAGTTCATGGCCAAGTACAAGAACAATGAAAAACTGCAAAGTTCCTGTAGCTAAAAGAGACAGTATAAAAGAGAATATGTTCGTTCTATCTACACAGAAAATGCCAGGCAAATAGTTATAAGAGGAGAGAATTCTATCGTACCTTTCCACTAGATGCTCCGTAGCCTGAATAATCGTATCTGCACGAGGAAGAAAAAAATTCAAAAAATACGAAAACGAAACCAGTCAATGATAGAAACTTGGGAAAAAACCGATACAACAAAGACAATAATCAATGAAACAATGGAAGAACAGCGAAAGAACAGCAGTGAGAAAGAACTCGAAAGAACGCAAACGAAACAAAGAGAAGGAAAAAAAAAACAAAAAATCTCCGAGGACAGATCAGTGGAGGAAGAGGAATTCCCATCCAAAAATCGAGATTTGTGGCTTACCCCATGACGTTCACCCGGAGATGGACGCTGAGCTCCACCAGGAGCTCATACATTTGTCCCAAATCCGCGGCATTCCCATGCGAGTAGAGCAGCGTGAGGCGCGCGGCGGAATGGTGGACGTAGATCCCCACAATGTCTTGCCCTCGCTTCGTCTTCATGCTCACCACATCGACGTGATCCCGGTTGAGAACATCCGAGAGGACCAAGCGGCCAGTGATCTGGTCCCGGATCACTGCGTATGACGGAGGCGTCGGGGGAAAGAAGGCAAACCTAGCTGCAACTGTGGATGTCACACCGCCCATGGCTGAGAATCCACGAATTTGCTGGGAATCCTGGGAACAAGACGACGATTCTTGGGGCAGCCGCAGCTACGCGATCGCTGGAAATTCCGCCATGAGAGGAGCAGTGAGTGCTACATTGGGGGAAGGGATCTGGCCCAGCGCAGCGCCAGACCTAGGATAGTGCCCTACACAAGGCAAGACGCAAGCAAACAAAAAGAAACACCATGCCAAGAATATGCGCCTCAGTTTAAATAAGAACACGAATTTTCTTATGGTGGTCAAATGCAAGTCAACGAGATTTGTGTTGGGTCTTGAGTTCTTTGACCAATGACAATGACTTCGTCTATTTGCCAAATTGTCCAGTGATCATGCATTATATTCCAAGCCACACAGTTTCACTGAGGTAGTGAATCTCAATTTATCTTTTGGGTGAAGAACAGATTAAAGTGAATTACTTTCAAAGGTAACTTTTTCCTGTATGATGAAAGGAAAGTTTAAGGAAGAGTTTAACTTTTTCCTGGATGATGAAAGGAAAGTTTAAGGAAGAGTTTAAGTGCGTATCCACGACAGCCACGCACTATTTACTCACGTGAACATGACATGACACACTTATAAGAAGTATTTAAAGTGTACAAACCTTTGAACGGGTTGTTCAAAGCTAGTGTGTAATGACAATAGTGAATGGGAGCATTCAGCAAGATGTTAAGAAGACTGGGGAGCCGCAAGTATTCCACCTGAAGATATCAAGTTTGGCTGCCAGAAAAAAAGAGGCAGCAAGTCCAGCTTGGCTGACTGAAAGATTGTATCTGTCCATCTGTAAGTTTTTGGTCATGGAAATTATCTGCATTGAATCAGCTACGGCTGTTCCCAGAAGCTGTAAGAATCCTTGGTCTATATAGACTTTGCGTCAGCGTGTAAGCGATTTTAGAGATGCTCATGGATAGAAACCATGCAAACGCTGTGACAATTGCTCCAAAAGAGAAAAGGAAAGAACTCCTCCGCAACCCAGGCCGGCACCAGCTGAAAGAGGAGATTGAAATCTTTCACGGAGGGCACCATATAAGAATGCATGTGTAACCTCGAGCTGAAGCTCCAAGTTAGAAATCTTCTCTCAAACCGACACTTGTTGAGTCTTTACCACCTTTTTCTGTTTTGTAAATCCGTCCTGACAAACAAGAAATTCATGCCATGTGGTGGGAGGCTGATGAAGCTCAGCTTTGCAAAAAGGAAACAGGGAGGACACCTCGGGTTGTGTTGTTTCGAGCTGGCGGATAACTGATTTACCCTAAGCATGATATGTGGTCTTCTCGTACCTTAAAGGTTAGCCTGCACTGTTTTCTTTTCTCTCTTTTTTTTGTTGGGTAAGTCTCTAGCTAACTTTTCAGCTCAAAGATGGAATCTTATCTCCGCACGGGTGCCAAACCGTGACCATGCGAATTAGGAGGAACAAAATCGGATCTCGCTAATGTCACGTAAACAGCGAAAGAATAGCCATTGCAAAGTTATCCAAAACTCTAGAGGAAGTGAGAGAGAAAGAGGTGAAAAAAGCTTGATAAACTTTACATTCCAAGAACCAATGTCCCGGGATCACGTAGCACCAAACTATTGTCTAACTTTTCTTGATCCGGGCACGATCCATCCAGGGAAACCCACCAGGTCTTGACTTGGCGATCCAATCCACCACTCACAACCCGGGCTCCAGCCCCGATAGACGAGGAAGAACAAGCAGCCATAGACACCGATTTCACCGGGCCTTGATGCCCCTTGATCACGCACAAGCACGAGTGAATCGCTGTGAATCTCTCCCTCGACCACACGCGGATCGTCCTATCGGCGGATCCACTGCAGAGAAAGAAATGCCCATCTTGGACGCCGCTGGAAATCGCGAGGCACAGCACCGCCATGCAATGGCCCCGCAGGGCATCCACCGCCGCCATATGCATCGCCGTCTCCTCGCGCTCCCACACCACGATTGATCGATCGCTCGACGCCGAGTAGAGGTAGCCCGACGAAGAATCCAGCGCCAGGGCGTTCACTGACGATTTGTGGCGCTCCAGGACCGCGACGAGCGACAATCCAATCTGTGCCTTGTTCTTCCCTCCCAAGAAAGAAGAACGCTGGGAATTAGAACAGAGCTCCCAGGCTTTGATCTTGCCATCGGCGGCAGCGGTGTAGACAAATTGCTGCGCGGCGGCCACGGCATTGATCGCATCGTCGTGGGCCGCGCGCACGGAATTCAGGCACTTCCAGTCAGCGGCGCGCCAGATCTTGAGCGATCGGTCCCAGGAGGCCGAGAAGACGAGATCTTTGGTGGCGGCCAGGCACGAGACCGCGTCGGCGTGCTGGATCCAGAGCTTCTTCCGGTGGCGGCGCACCTGGATGTAGCTCGAGGGCAGGATGGATCGCGAGAGGACGTCCTTGACTGTGGGAAGAGTGTGGCAGAGCTCGATTTCCTCGCTAATTATTCCCTGTTCTTGACGATGGCGCTTCTTCTTTCGCCACACACGAATCTTCCCGTCCTGGTGGGCGGTCAAGACGCAATTTTGATGCTCTAGAATGGCTTTGATGCTGCCCCCGCGCGAGCCCACGGCCTCGATTTCCTTAGAAGCGCAGGGATTTTGGTGGATTCCATGGCTCTCGGTGCCGACGAGGAGGAGCTCTGGGCTCTCTGTGGCGCAGAGGGCGGTGATGCCGGATTTGGAGGCGATGGTGGTGGAGGGCAGCGACTTGTAGGGGAAGTTCTTGAAGACGCAGCTGGTGTAGAGACACAGGAGCGCCGAATCGACGCTGCTACCGCGCTGAAAGGACGAGACCGATGGGAGGCTCGAGGCAGAGGACTGATGCGAATAAGAAGATCTGATGGAGAGTTTAAAGTCGATGGAAGACGAGGAATTGGAACATCGGGAGAAGGAAGAAGTCGAAGAGCAAGAAGCTGTTGACGATTCTAGCGAACTTGCCTGATCAGCTGCGCTATTGCAAAGCCCGAGCTCCATTTTCGGCTGTAAGGAGAGACCCTTTTAGCAAAATGGAGCCAGGAGAGCGATTCCGCGGGGTCAGCACGCGAAGTTCATGAATGATCGGATTTTTCGTTTGGTCAGCCAAGCGAGAGAGAGGGAGATGGAAGGGAAACTTCTATCAACGGTCGTATTTAAAGAAAGGAGATATGAAAGATCCGGTTGTTCCACGCGGGCATCGTTCCAGCTAGAAGGCACTGTGAGTTGCTTATCTTATCCATACTTTTCACTAAATTGATTGATTCATAGTTTAATCCACGAAGGCATTAGGCATTCCTCGAGAAAGTGTCCCTTGATCCGCTAAAGAATCGTTTCTTCTTTCTCTACAACAAACTAAACAATTGATTCGACGGTAGCTTTTGGTTTGCCCGACCGGACCAACGAACAAGTTGCGCTTAAAAAACTTGAAAGTCTTTTCGCTACAAGGGATTTGTTTTTCAAAGGAAATCTTCCCAGTCGTTGATCGATGATCAATGGGCCGCCGCCTTTAAAACACACACTTTCCTGGTCGATTGAACGATAATCTATGGACTATTAGCTGTGATCTCATGGAGGGTCTCATCCGTTATATGTTTTGTAGCCATCTTTGGACTAGCAAGCAAATCATTCTTTTTGCTACTTTCCTAACACGCCAAAGATCCATAGCTGTGTACGCGGGGAGCCATTCGCGACCACGATCGATCATATTCTCTGTTTTTCCAATTCTTTTTGTTCACGATCATCAAGCGCGATTGTACCGGGCCGTGCTAACTTGCCGGACGATCCAGAGAAATAAAGTGGTGACGTTTCCTCTCGCGGATAAGATTGGAGATTTCAAGGCCCAAAGGGTGAGTGGGGCGCTAGCAGGAAAGCAATCGTTCCCCTCAGTGGAATCGTGGTCCCCCAGGCAAAAACTTCCAGAGCTGCGAGACGAAATCCCAGCCGTCCGATTTCTACACTTTCTTCTAGAGCGCGCGAAAAAGTATTCTAAAGCGCGTAGCATACCCTTGTTGTATCTCATCAGAGATATCATATTTGACTGTTTATATACGAGAATATTTAAAGCGTATAGACATCCTATCACGTTAGTGACAGTAACTTTGGAGCTAGCTCTAGCAGCGTAGCGTATAAAAAATGCAAGCTATCTGTATGTCACAGCAAGCAAAGAAACAATCCACCTGATGCGAGCAAATCACGAGAAGCAAAGATCCAAACAAAAAACAAAAAAAAAAAAAAAAACTAAGAAACCACTCACCAAGCCAGGAAAAAAGGAAGAACAATGAGGAGGAGAGGATTGAGAGTTAAGAGACCTCCACTTCTTCGGCGGCGACTACCTGGTTACTGCTGCTGCTGGAAGCGATCTTCTTCGAGCAATGGCCGCCGGGATCTGCCGAAGTTAATCGCTTACGAGAATCACCTTGCTTGGAGTCGGACGATGGCGATCCCGAGTGTTGCCTCGCCGGCCTCGCGGGCTTCACGCCTCCCGGGTACACGAAGAGCGGGATTTGCTTGCGACGGACGTGAGAGACGTAGATTTCCATGCCCTGCTTCCACGACGTGTAGGCCGCAACGTTGAGCTTGAACTGCTCCACCGTTGTCCGGATGTCGAACTGTTGGCCTTCGTGGAGTGGTGCTCCCAGTTTTCTCTGTAGGCCCATGAAGTATGCGCAGTGATAGCCGTCCCTTGCCATGTCCACGAAGTCTGAGGGATGTGGATGGCACTGGAGCATGCCGTAAGTGTCCTTCTCCACCTAGAAATGGATAACGCGTTAAGCCAGAAAGCGTTCGCTTTCGAGAAACATAGCAAGCGCTTCTTCTTTACCTTCAAAGTCAGTTGCCTCAACCGTGACTCCACCCAGCCTTTCCAGCACCGGTGGTCACAGTCGTCTATCGCCACTACGTCAATCTGCAAGTAGTTCCTATACGCCTCGAAGAATGAAAAGCTCTCGAACAGCAAATCCCAGGTTGCCCTGCTCATCTCTAGTTGCTGCAGGCACACGAGACTTGTAAGCATTAAAGCAAACGAGCAAAGCCACTCGAGCGTACCTCACAGACTTCGTTGCCGCGGTTGAATTCCTGTGTCATTATCCGTAGAGTACTCGTAGAGACGTTGTAGCTAGAGTTCATGCAGGGATATGCCGGAGTTATGATCGGCATCAAGTGAGACTTATCTCTCGGGTTCTTCCTGGGGTCCCAGACTTGTAAAAGACCAAGGGACGATCTCTCCTCGATCGGGCACAACATAACTGGATTCGGCCACCTCCACTGTGTGTAAACACGGAAGAAACGGGAAATTAGCGTGCTCGGTACAGCGTTCGGGTAGAGCTGACAAATTCGAGCAACAAGCAGGGCCCAGTTGATGCCTCCTAGAAATCCCGTAACCTGCAAGCACAAAAACAGGAAAAGAAGTATCACTGTCGCTTGCAATTTCGTAATAACACAAACAAGCTCACATTTGAATAAACTCCTCGACGCTTGGCCCAATACTTCATACAGCGTAGTGTTGTACGAAAATGCTACACCATTTACCGATTTTTAGATGCAACCTACCGTGATCTACTGCTACCAATGAAACAACAGACCTGGATGTTGGGAACTAGACGAAGTATCTGGTCGGTCACTCGGCAGCCGTTTAAGCTGAGGACACTCTGCTCGTCCAGATTTTGCATTATGGACTCGTCGGAAATATCAAGATCCTGAAACAAAACTCATAGTCAAACAGCACAAACGAAGAAGAAAACTTCTCACTTCCGGTATCGTCCACGAAGAGAGCCTTGCGTACAGCAGATCAATAGAAATCCCGTCGAACTTGAATTTCATGACGGGAACATGAGCTTCCGGCACTGGATTGAGTTCTGTGACATTCTCGGTCTCGGCCAGGATATTATGCAACTCAACGAAGAAGTCTTCCTACAAAAACGATCATCGCTCAAAGGAAAAGTGCTGTAAATATTACCTCGCGTGTAGCATGACTCGGACCGACGCATAGTGTGTCAATGTCTGAGCCAGGGCCATGGACCTGCGACCGACAAGAACATAAAAAAGGGAAAAGGAAAAAAAAATCCAAAGGACGATACTTCCAAGTTCTTTGGAACTTGGTACTCACCCCAAGGCGATACGAGCCGAAAGTAAAAATCTTTGCATTCGCCTCTTGGACGACTTCGTTGCTAAATCCTTTGTTGACGCAAATTTGCCTCACCCAGCTCTTGACAATCTAAAACGAAGGACAAAAGGACAAAAGGTAACACCACTGCCTCTCCATCTCATCCAGATTGCGAGAAATACCTGATCGAGGCGCCCTAGAACACCCTCCCTCTTCATCGCCTCTTCGCGGCTCTCGTTAAGGCCAGCATTGGACAGGAGCTGCGCGAAATCCTCGAAATTTCAGCAAGGTTCCAGCAACAAACAGCGACATACCTTCTCGAGATCGCGCGTCCTTCCTAGATCCGCAGGCGTCGGGCCGGCCGTGGAGAGCGGCTCCATCCGCGAGGAGACCTAGAACAAACACAAACAAACCCTAAAGCGCCATAGCCTAGTTATATTCCATTTTTGACCTTTTTCTCCCTTTTGATACTGGTGTTTGGCGCAGCGGCGCGAATTGACAATGGCAGAGGAGAGGCGCGATTCATTCCATGGATCACCCCAGGAAGAATTTCACCCCAGCGGCCGCATTCGCGGCGTTTGGATTCGCGTGCGTCTCGCTAGGGCTTTATGTCGCGCTGCTTCCTCCGGAATATCTCGATCGCGGCTCTCTCCCTGCGGGATTGTGGGCGAGAGCTCCGGATCTCTCTTCCGCGGAGATCCTCTTGCGGCGGGTTGCTGAGAATGGGACGCAGGGATGCCACAACGTATCCACCGCAGCTGCTGTCTTGTTTGGGATTCCTCGAGCGGAGGATGGAGGCGAGATTACGCTGGCCGCGGATGAAGTTCACAAGTTCTGGATCGTTTCGTATGCTGCCGATGGATCCAGGCGATGCTCGGGGGGAGATTTTTACGAGACCGACATCTCAGGTACTTTTCTTCGCGCTTTTCTTTCACAGATTAGAATTTTCAACGCCAAGCTCTTTTGTTCTTGAGTTTGTTTCCTTCTTGTTTCTCTGGAAGTTGCTTGCTTTCTTTGCTAGCGTTTAGATTCCCGAGTCTCTCATTCCATCTGGTTTGATATGGTTTTCCTGATGGTACCTTGTTCCTAGTGTGTGTGATTGCTCTTTCCTTCCATTGATTAAAAATTTCGATTGGTATCAAGCAGGCCCGACTTGGAAATCACGTCCACCGGTGACGGACTTGGGAGACGGCTCCTACCTGGTGGAACTCAAAGTCAATGGCGACTTCGCTGGAAGCTACAACTTCACGGTCAGTCTTGTCTACACGAACTTCCACGGGCTGGATCACCTCCCGGGAAAGTGGGCCTTCAAGAAAGAGATGTTCCGCCTGCTCATCAACTTCACGGCCGGGAGTCGTCGGCGTAAACACCAGCTCCACACTTGCGCCGCCAGCGACTTAAGATCGACGACTTCACCACCATCCCAATGGCAGGGAAGATGGTCCAGGACCAAATTCAACAGCTCATGTCAGCTAGACAAGAACGGCCGCTACCTTTGCTTGGATCCGGCCGAGCAGTGCGACGAGAGCCAGTGCTCCGGAGCCATCAACAGCCTGGAGAGCAACGGCTGGGTCTACTCCGCGCACTGCAAGTTTCGGATCTGGAACTCTGCTGAGGCCTGGCAGTGTCTCGACGGGAAGAAGCTCTTCTTTTGGGGGGACTCGAATCACCAGGACACCGTCCGGAACCTCCTCAACTTCGTCCTGGGACACCAGCTGAAATTCGTGGATAGGATCTTCGTCGCCAACTTCACCAATCCAGCAAACCCGTCGCAGGTGGTCCGGCTGGCCTCGATTTTCAACGGGCACCCGGATCCACATCACAACTTCCTGGGCCTGGGATCGTTGTATGTTCCTCAGTACCGCGATTTCGTCCGGTCAGTAGTCCGCCAGGGTGGTATGCCGGACGCAGTGATCCTCAACTCGGGCATCCACGACGGCATGAACTGGAAGACAATGGCGGAGTTCCTCGAGGCTGCCAGGAACGCGTCCGTGTTTTGGAAGGATTTGCTCGGGGACGAGAGCAAAGCTCGGGTGGTGTTTCGCTCCACGGTTGCTACCGGCCTCGGGTTTAGAGATCTGGGGTCCAATCCACACAAGATGGAAGCTTTCAATTCCATCCTGGGCGAGGAGCTCGCCAAGGAGCTCGGGGGCTTGGAGCACTTCATGTTCGTGGACGACTATGATATCACTTTCCCGTGGCACTATGATTTCTGCTGTAGCGATGGCGCTCACTTTGGACAGCCACCGGCCTTGAAGTATTGGTTTGATCGAATTGGACACTTTTACTTTGTGGATCTAATGCTTGTGCATATACTGCTCACTGCGATTTGCTCGTAAAACTATGGTCATCTTTCACTAAAAGGTTCATAGATAACACTTTTAAGATCCGAGATCAATAAAAATGAGAGATTTTTTGCTCATACTTGCATCTGTGATGAGGTAAATCACGCTTGGAATTCAAACTTTCCCTTCTTCAAGATGAGCTTGCATTTGTAACCCAAACTCTTCATCACGGCCCGTTTCTTAGCCCTCTTTACCATGGTTTTACTGTGCTGTATTTTCACAACCTCTAGTAGCACCATGGTGAACGTACACCTCTCACTGAGTAGCTCCAGCGCGGTGACCACGTGGCCTCTCCCCAGCAGCCGCTTGACCACCTCTTGACTTGACTTTTTGCTGACCATGACTCGCGAGAGCCATGCCGACATCTTTGGGCCCTCACGTAGCATGGCCTCGATACTCTCCGGGAATGCCCATCTTTCAGATGCGTGGTTGATTTGAAGAGCATCTGGTACGCTTCCTCGGGATTGTCATGCAGATCTAGCACTAGCCGCAAGCATTGTCGTGCTGGAAGCGCCCGAGCAGTTCAGTCGCATCAACCAGCACGCCAGTGTTGTTCGCCAGTGAGTGTGTGTGTGTGTGTGTGTGTGTGTGTGAGAGAGAGAGAGAGAGAGAGAGATAGTTTAGGGCACCAGGAAGTTTGAGAGTTTTTAGGGCACCAGGGAAGATTCATGGTTTTAATATTAGATTTTTTAGGGAATGGAGATATGGAGGCTCGACGCCGCGGAGCCAATCGTCCAGCAGGTACTAGCGGCACAGCCATGGGAGGCGCTTCAGCGGCGTAAGCTATTCCTCCTCAATCACGTCGATGGCGAGATCGAGGACGAGGACGGCGACTGCGCCAATGGCTTCATCCTCGCCGATCCAATACCCTCGCCCTACCTCGGATCGCTGTACGCCGGCGCTTGCAGCGGCCGCAAGCACAAGCGCGAGATCGAGGTCGCCGATCGCCAGCCGGAGCACCAGATTCACGCCAGCGATGCGTGGTTCTGGTGTAATCTCTGCAACAAGGAGGTTTCTTTGGAATCCCTGGCGCTCGCGAGCTCCTCCGGGTGTTCTTGCCTCTTTTGCCGCGGCTGCCTGGAATCGGTGGTGTCCAGCGCGATCAAGGACGTTCTTCGCAGGAATCCTCCCCAGGTTTTGGATCCCGGCCCCAGCAGCAAGTCTCAATCGAAATGCCCCAAGCTGATGATCGATCTCACGAAGGATGACGGCGATGGCGACGACGATTGTAGCATCGTTGGCGAGGTAGCGTCTTCTTCTTCGTTTTCTTCTTTGTGGGACTATCTCCCATGTCCGTCACCATTCTGCCGGGGGAAGTTCCGGCTTACAGACATCCAGTCCGTCTCTCCGGATTGTTTCGCCCAGTGGGAGGCAGCAGCCAGCGATGCTCTCGTCAAGAACAGTGGCTCCTTCGTCAAGTGTCCGGGTTGCCAGGTCGTGATCGAGAAAGTCGAGAGTGATTTGCCTCCGGGGCTGGCTCTTTCCGGGGTGCCGGAGTTTGACAGAACGGTTCCTTTCACCGAGCTCGACGACGATGGCAATCGTCTCTCTCGCCGCGCCATGGTGGACAAGGCCGTGAATCGCTTCCGGTGCGTGGTTTGCAGCATGGACTTTTGCGCTGCGTGCTTGCAACGCCCCTACCACCTGGGAAAGACTTGCGAGGAGTTCTCGCTCGAGAAGAAGGCTCTGCGGTGCATCTACTGCGATCAAGTGTGTCGGCACGAGATCAAGTCGCTCGTCGGTGGGAATGATGTTGGGAGTTCTTCGGTGAAGGATATACGAAGTCGGCTTGAGCAGGAAGGGGTGGACAGTGGATGGTGCGTGGAGAAAAGTGATCTTGTCGCGGTGGAGAGGCTGTGCGATCGTGTCTGCCAGGAAATGGAGTGTAGGCAACGGTTGAAACAAGCTTGCACGCGCAACTTACACTGCGGACACCACTGCTGTGGAGTGAGAGGTGAACGAAATTGCCTACCTTGTCTAGAGGTACCTTGTTAGGATTGCCTTGAGTCCTTGTGTGTTCTTCCTCGGTTTTATGCTTTTGGTGGTGGTGGATGCTTCCTTCTCGACGTTCATTTTTCTTCGTCTTTGTTTCCTTGCTTCGAGTTTTTTGAGCTCCTGATTTTGTTTTGTGCTGATGTAAACGACTGTTTTTTCTTCGTTTATCTCCTCGTCTCCAGTTTTTCATGAATCTATTTCACTTTCTGTTTTGGCAAAATAGTTCACACTCTCTACTTCTTCCTTTACAGGAGGAATGCCAGAAGCAGAAGCTCTCGGGAAAGGCATTGGCGTCTGCTGAGGACTTTTGTGGCATTTGCTTGGTGGAGGTGCTTCGTTCGGCCCCTTCAATTCTGCTTCAGTGTGGCCACATTGTGCACTTGCATTGTGCCAAGCGACAAATCCAGCAGGGATGTCCTGGCCCTCAAATTTCATTCGGGTATTTAAAGTGCCCCCAGTGCAAGCTTCTTATGAAGCACAGTAAGCTGGACGCGGACATGCACAAGCATTTGACGACAATGGACCAGGTAAGCAGCACGCTGGTTTTAAACTTCTTGAAACTCTTTCATTGTTGCCTTTGCAGATCAAAGCCAGAGCAATCAAACGTTTGAAACTGGAAGGAGTTTATGACAAGCTCAAGGCTAGTTGCAGCTCTGATGACAAACTGACTTCCTTGGCCTTGGAGCAGTACCAGTATTATATGTGCAGCAAGTGCAAGAACCCGTACTACGGTGGGAAGCGGAACTGCGGTCCAAACTTGGTGTAAGAGTTTTCTTTGTTTGCGCACTGCATAAGTTCTCAGAGCGTGGATTCTTGACAGGGAGGACCAAGGACGGCAATACGATCCCTCGGAGCTCGTTTGCGGTGGATGCAGTGCTGGTGCCGATGGCAAGTGCAAGCTTGGTCACGGTAACCAGTTCGTCGAGTTTAAGTGTCGGTTTTGCTGCTCCATAGCGACGTTTTTCTGCTTTGGAACCATCCACTTCTGTGACAGTTGTCACGGGATCTGGCCTCAGCAGCACTCGAGCTCGTACGTGCTTCCTCAGTGCAAAGGGCCCCAACACTGTCCACTGGGAATAGCTCACGCTCCA